ATTAGAAGTTTTTTTTTTAACAACACACTGAGGCGTGATGAAATCCTTAAAATATTTCGTATTATTGAAATTATCGCTAACATTTTTGTCGAGATTTACAAACTCTACGTTTCGTTCAATTTCACAAAACCAATCGATGAAATTTGAATAAGCTGATTTGTTTGGAAAAATAATTTGACAAAACCCCTACTTCCCGATTTAATAATTTCTTTAATTTAATTAAATAAATGTAATATATATATATATATATATATATATATATATATATATATATATATATATATATATATGACGTATGAGGGCCAAGCGACTTGTGCACTACGTGCCACAGTGTCCCCAAACGACCCTCCGCAGGTTTTTTGAATTCAGAGTTGTCCTTCTCCTAGACCAGTTGCCATCAAAGGCTATAGAATCATATTTACCCATAGCTGGAGGGAGGAGAGGAATCATACCTTTCCCAAGAGTATTAGCACGTAAGTGAATGTCAAGGACAGAGTAAGAATATAATATAAAAGGCTCAAACATTAATATTCCATGGTTATAATTTATTATATTGGAATCCTAATCACGATCCAATTCATCAGACCTACAAATTCAAAAAGGTCTGATGAATTGGATCGTGATTATTGATTACAATGTAATAAATTATAACCATGGAATATTAGTGTTTGAGCCTTTTATATATATATATATATATATATATATATATATATATATATATATATATATATATATATATATCGGGTTTACAGAGCTGTTGTACTTGCCATCCTTTTTTGTACGGCTCAGAGTCGTGGACTCCATACAGGTACCATATACGCCAGCTGGATGTTTTCCATAAAAGCTGTCTGCGTGCAATCTGTGGAGTTAACCTTCAAGATAGGACAACGAACGTAGACCTGTTTAACAGGTGTAATATTGGAGGAATCTAGACTTTTCTCATACAGTCTCAGTTACGGTGGACTGGCCATGTCTGGAGAATGTCTGATGACAGGATACCCAAGATCCTAATGTAAAACCAGTTAGATCAGGGCTACAAGAATGTAGGACGCCCATGGCTAAGATACAAAGACAAGCTGAAAAGTAACTTGTCAGCAGTCAATATACCACATAACACCCTTGAGCGCTTAGCCTTGGAGTGGGTAGAATGGAGATCAATGTGTTTTAGCGGACTCAGCAGTGTTCAATCTGCTTGTCTGAATCCTTTTCAAGAAGCGAGAGCAAGATCTAAAAAGTCATCCAATCTAACAATCTCATCTCACAATCCCCACTCTTGCTCCATATGTGACCTCTTTTGTAAATCACTAGCGGGTCTTAAGTAAATCACTAGCGGGTCTATCGCACAAAATTTCATAACTGAATCAATTAAACTGTCAGATCCTCATACGTCGAAACCGACGTGAGAGTCCATTATTTTATATATAAAGAAAAGATGTGCAAAAAAACAATATTGCCTTTTATTAAATAAGTATTTGTTATTTTAATTATTAAATTGTTTCTAAAATAGTGGGAGTATTTTGTTATGTTAATAAAATTTTCAAGTTACAAATAATGAATGAAAATGTATTGTACTAAGCTATGCAAAACTAAGCTACGTATATCGAATTGTACTTTCTACCCCCCCACCCCTTATCTGCTTGTATTTTCCCCCAAATTTGATTTCGATCGGTCAATGGATTGCCATTTTAGAGGGTGTGACGGACTAACGGAAGTGACAGAATTTTATATATCGAGTGTTAACTTCCATCTTTATTTTTAGTTGATTTTATCACTAGTTTCTTTGGGCTACAGACATATGACAGAATCGGAAATAAAAAAAAAATAATGTTTTTTTCTTGTTATGTAGAAAATATGGTAGGATGGAAATGCGTTAAGATTATTTGTTTTGCGTTTAAAGTCTTTGATCGTCAGATCCAACAAGTTGGATGACTAACGCTGCAAGAAAGTCAAGTATTAGTGAAAAGGTCACATCACCCAACGCCGAAGTAGTTTGTTTAGTCCAAAGCCGATGGGAAAACGTCCGTCCGTTAACAAGGTGCGACCATTTGCATTTTTCCAGGTGAATTATTCACTTCCATCTTAACAGGAGGTGGGGGCGGGCTAAAAAAAGGGTAGAAGGAAAAGATGGAGTGGTACTTTTTGAGCAGTCGGCCGGAAGAATATTTCCTATTTCCATTTTCACACATAACAAATTCAGAAAAACGAAAAGAAGAAAAGCACACACACACACACACACGCCTCTCTGTTATGCATGCTGTTGCCACGACCTGCTTGGGTCTTGGATATGTTGATTGACTTATTTTTACTGCTTATCAACCCTTTGTGAATTATTTAAAGCCGGAACATATTTTCTAAGAATAATACCTTTTTGCGAGGGAATATTCTATGAGCAATTTCTTGAGAATATCGATGATTTTCCAGATAAAAGTCCTAATATTTAACCCATTGTTGGGGGGGAGACGGCATGGATTCATACCTTTTCTAGTGTCCCGGATATGAAGGTATGCTGTGATCTGTAAGTGTTTTGAAGATAGGACAGGGGTTCTGTAACAGGGTACACGAGAGAAATTTAGAAGGTACCCGATCAAGTCTCGTCCACTCTCGGTACGTCCTCACGTTATGATGATGAGAAACTCGCAAAACGTCTAATCATTATCCCGGTAGAAAGAGACAATACAAGGCCCAAGAGCCACTCAAGGTAGAGTGTAACTGAATGAGATTGTTGAAAGTAGATAGCGGTTGAAGAGATTAAGATTAAAGTGATCGGGGAAGCATCCTCTAGGGAGTCTGTTCCACAATGTAGCAGTTTCTAGCTAGAAGCTTTCCCAATAGAAGTCTCATCGATCGCGATGAACGGATGTTCCTTTGGGGTGACCCCGTGCCTTGATCGATCAAACTCAGTCCAGAATTCGTACATGCGTTACATCGCTAAAGATGATCGGTCCGCTGTGCCGCTCCAGTAAGAACCTGACTCCTCATGCTATCCTCTACCTCCGCACATCAGGTCGAAAATGGAGCACTGCTGCCATATACGAACAGGAGCTGCCAGTTTTCCCTTTCATATCTCGACAGAGTTCAAAAGCGTCTCCACGTCCTTTTGGGTGACGAATTATTTTCCACCCTACAACCCCTCTCCTCACAGTCGAAATGCTGCAAACCTCTCGGTTCTCTATCGCTAGAGTGTTCAGACGAAGTAGATTCCTTTGTTCCACCAGTTCCAACCTTCACATCTAAGACCCACCATGTCACGCCCATTATAGCGAACTACCCTCATTCCTTTCTTATTCAATTGGTGAAATGCAAGTTACACTTGAGCTGCTTCTTCCCACGAACCGCTGCTTTATGAAACCGACTCCCGATAGGATGCTTTCCCGATTACTAAACCTGTTTAAGTCTAAAGTCAAACGTTATCTTCTCCACATATACCCATAAACTGCCTTCCTTACATATACCTATAAACTCTGTAACCCTCTACCTCGAATGGCTCTTGGGACTTATACAGGGTAAACATCACTGTAAAATAAAGAAAATAAAAGCAAGAAGTGAACTTCATTAGCTTATGTAGGAAAGATAACAGTTAACCGTACACTTAAAGAGGTCGAGATTACAGTGATTGGGAAAGCATCCTGCCGGGAGTTTGTTCCGCAAAGCCGCAGTTCTTGGGAAGAAGATGTCCCAATGGAACTGACTATTGGAATACAAAGGGAACGGGGATAATTCACACTTGGGTTCGTGGCGCGGTGGGTCCCAGTTGTAAAGGGGGGAGGGGAGGTGGGATGAAAGAATGTGGCGCGTTAGAGCACATGCGATGGAAATAAAGATAGAGCAGCGAGAGGTTCGCGACGTTTCGTCTGTGAGGAAAGGGGTTGTAGGGTGGAATTTTATTCATCACCTCACAAGACCGCGTGGACGCTTTTGAGGTCTAGTGATATACTTAATAAGCATGAATATATTCTAAACATTTTACCAACATCAGATACTTAATACAAATTCTGAAAGCATTTACTTGCATAATAAAATATGACCTCACACACACTCACACACACACACACACACACACACACACACACACACACACACACACACACACACACATACGAACACACACATAGAGTAAGTCGCCGAGTTACGACAGTCCCAACGATTCGTGGTGACGACGCAATTTCAATTAATCTTGTTTCGACTTACGTCTCGTACGTACGACGCAAACGTGCTTTGGAAAACTGGAGAAGCATTATTTTCATCGCAACTATTTGGATGCTTATTTTCTAGGCAGGCACGCTTTTCTGTCATGGAAATCTGGTCTCACACAATTTTCCCAACTCTTCATTAAAAGACTCTATCGTATGTAAGATTGGTGCACCATTATCCTTCCATTTTTTTAGTAGATAATACATTTATATACTTGTAAAATCTACAATGCTAACAAATTTATATCTCAGTTTCTTCCTTCCTTTCTCTCTCTCTCTCTCTCTCTGTATTGGTATTTAAACCAAACTTGAGTTGAACTTGTTGACGCCGCCCTTCCCAGAAGCATAGCACCCGAGTGATTACTGGCAGCTTCTAAATAATACAATAATTGATTGCCAAGGTCAAATAGACACGTGTATTTATGGTTCTACGTACATTGTTTAAAAGCACTGACGGGGTAGGTGATTTTTTTTTCCTTTTAACGTTGTCAAAAAGCCAATGGTAAATGGAGCCAACAGGTTATTTTTCTTTACAATCTACTAAAATAATTCGCGTCACTAGAAAAAAAGAATCGACACGAACAACATCTCGCAGTCTTTTTCTGTTGCGCTTTCATGAGAGATTTTGTTGGATTCGGCTCAACACATTTCTAATGTTATATTTTCATTCATTATTTGATAGGTTGCTATTTTACTGATTAGAATACAAGACAAAGAACTTGAAGAAACGAACTCACTAGTGTATTAATGGTCCAGAAAGACTGTTTCGGTAAGCATTGATCTACGGCTAGACACCTACGAAATAACGTTATGAAAAGCAATTGGAGATCGATCGATCTATCTATCTATCTATCTATCTATCTATCTATCTATCTATCTATCTATCTATCTCATTCTTTTCATATCTATCTATCTATCTATCTATCTCATTCTTTTCATATCTATCTATCTATCTATCTATCTATCTATCTATTTCATTTTTTTTCATATCTATCTATCTATCTATCTATCTATTTCATTTTTTTTCATATCTATCTATCTATCTATCTATCTATCTATCTAATTCTTTTCATATCTATCTATCTATCTATCTATTTCATTCTTTTCATATCTATCTATTTCATTCTTTTCATATCTATCTATCTATCTATCTCATTCTTTTCATATCTATCTATCTATCTATCTATCTATCTATTTCATTCTTTTCATATCTATCTATCTATCTATTTCATTCTTTTCATATCTATCTATCTATCTAGCTCATTCTTTTCATATCTATCAATCTATCTATCTCATTCTTTTCATATCTATCTATCTATCTATCTCATTATTTTCATATCTATCTATCTATCTATCTATCTATCTCATTCTTTTCATATCTATCTATCTATCTCATTCTTTTCATATCTATCTATCTATCTATCTCACTAAAAGCTACAGTTTATGTAAGCTCTGTAAGGAAACGATTCAGTAGAGTAAATGGCAATCCTAGAGAGAAAGCAGATACTGATCTTAGTGATAGGCCCAGCTATGGCAGGCCAGCTGCTACTTTGAATAAGGCCAAAGTGACTGATTTTCTCATTACAGCTAAGAGAAGGATCCTTGTTATAGAACTCTATGTAAATCTTCAAACGAGCCAAGATAATACCTGCAGTTTAGAAACTCAAATGTTTGTGCAAAGGTTTCTAGAATACCGACAGAGGGAGTAGAAGTGGAATACCGTGATTGAGAATGAAAAAGACTGCATCGAGGACCAATGAAGTCGGTCCTTAGTAGTCGGCGTTTCTTCAATGAAGATAGGGTAACTTGTACAAGATTAGGAACGGTTCAACGAGGCGGGTGTTCTCATTCAAAGTTGGAATGCCACAACGGAGAAGAAAGGAGATCGTGTGTTAATGAAACTTTACATTTGAAGACTCTTTTCTATTCACTTTGATTTGTGCTTCATGTGCTTTTACGATTAAATCTGTTGTAATTAAAGAAAAACAGGCACATTATATTCTTGTGCAAATTAATTGAAACAACCGCTTTAGTTTCCTTTCTTTCACCATACACTCAGTTTTAAACCCACTGGAGTGACAAGGTGTAATCATTTTTTTATTTTTTACTCAGATTAAATCATTTGCAGTGGTGTGCAGTAATATGAATCTATTTTCGGAGTGTATGATGAAATACGTTTAGCTTTGAAAAATATTGTGTTATCCGTGATTGCTCAGATTTCCATCACGCCCAGACACTATTGTCTCGAATGTCGATTAGTTGTCCTACGGCTATTGTCTGCGATGGACGTTACTCCAAGGAAACATACGAAAATTGTAGCGCTGCACGAACAGATGGGAAGCCTTACCAGTGAGAAAATCAAAGTACTATAGACTGGCACGGAAATTCTCCTGATTTAAATCCAATTGAGAATCTGTAATCAATCTGCAAGGAACGACTTCGTGGAATGGACATACGAAGTATTAACATGTGCACTGGGTCATATTTCATTGGAAAAATACGAAAAGTAAATAATAACGGAATTAATCGTTTTTTTCCTTTTAATTTGCACAAGGGTGTAAGTGATAATGGCCCTCCACATCTTCCTGTACAATTAATTTGCACAAGGATGTACTTTTGACATATCCTTGTACCACGATTAAGAAGAAAATATTTATTCTGATGCTTAGACATAGAATTGTCTTTCATTTCAGACCCGCTTTTTATACTTTTGTCATTTATAATGAAGGCGATTCTAAGATAATTAAAAGTCCTAACAGCATTCATTACTATTAGCCACAATCTTAATAAGATATAAAGATGAAATGCAGACACGGAAAAATTGATTGATTGATTCGCTTTTTACGGCTTATCAACTCTTTTCAGGTCATTTAAAGCCAGAAAACATTTTTAAATTGCCAGGATTTTTTTTGAGATAATAATGGTTTTAGTGATACAAGTCTTACTAATTAACCCATAACTGGGGGGGGGGGAGAGGTTGATTCATATTTTTTACCGCGTAAGTAAATACAACGAACCCGATTGGAATTGGAACTCCGCTCTCCAATTAACAATTCCGAGCCATTATCCATTACACCAGCCGCACATCCAAGCTTACAGCATCTGGGATTCCAAAGCGCTTATCCATACTGGCTAGTTTCGATATTGCTTAACTTCGATGATCGTACGGGAACTGGTATTTCAACGTGATGGGGCCCTAAGCCAGACATAAAAAGGAAACTAGAAGAATTCTTAGAGAAGGTAGTGAAGGAAAGCAAGAAGAAAGGACTAAACATCAGTTACATGATAGAATGCATGGTTGTTAGCAAAAGAGACTGCCCAACATGCAAATTACAAATTGGAGAGACCAAAATCAAGCAACTAAACAATTTAAATATCTGTGAAGTGTTTCAGCAGAGGCCGAAAAGTGCGCCCCTGAAATCCGAGGGCGCGTTGGGATAGAGAAAGATGCTTTCTAAAGCTAAGCAAAGTATTAAGAAACAGGAAAATTTAGTTAGACACAAAGAAAAGAATACTGAACTATTACGCAATATCAATCCTCGTATATGACAGTAAATGCTGGACAATCTCCTCACAGATGAATAGGAGACTTGAAGCAACGGAAATGTGGTTATACAGAAGGATGCTGAGAATACCATGGAACGAACATATAAGTAACGACAAAATTTTAGATAAAATGGAAACAAAAAGGACCTTTGAACTTAAAATGAGAAAGTGACAATTTAAATTTCTAGTGTACATAATAAGGAAATAGGGCTTGGAGAATTTGATACTCACAGGACAGAATGAAGGCAAGAGGAACAGAGGAAAACAATACGTAACCTACCTGGTAATCTTGAGTAAATGCGTGGCAGAACAGGGTTTAAGAGAGATAAAAAGAATTATTAAGAGCTACAAAGGAAAGCAATGATCGTCAATGTCCTGAAGGGACAGGAACCAAAGAAGAAGAAGAAGAAGAGGGAGAGGAAGAGGAAGAAGAAGAAGAGGAAGAAGAAGAAGAAGAGGGAGAAGAAGAAGAAGAGGGAGAAGAAGAAGAAGAGGGAGAGGAAGAGGAAGAAGAAGAAGAAGAAGAGGGAGAGGAAGAAGAAGAAGAAGAAGAAGAGGGAGAGGAAGAGGAAGAAGAGGAAGAAGAAGAAGAGGAAGAGGAAGAGGAAGAAGAAGAAGAAGAAGAAGAGGAGGAGGAAGAAGAAATCTTTTTTTAATTAAAGAACAGGTGTTATTTTTTTTATCTACCCTAGCACTATGAGGAATAATAATATTATGTTAAGTAGAATCTCAATACTAAGACGTTTGTCTTCACACTGTGGCCTGATTTGTGTGGCTTCTATTATTAAATCTGTTGTACTTAAAGAAGAGCAGACATTACTTTTTGATCGAATCCTCTCGTATAGCGTTGTATGTATCGGTAAATGAATAATAAGTAAAAGAGCGACTTAAAAAAGGGCGGTAGATTGAAAGAGACTGAAATGTGTATGTGGTAGGTTTGAGAAGATGGCTATGGCGTCAGAGAGTTGGGACTTTGTTGTTGATAATCACTTAAAGGAAGAAGCGACATCAAACTCGTCTCATTGTCAGTGACCCCGTCTTTCATTCTGATTCACTACTTTTAGGTTAAGAATTAAAATAAACATGGCTGACACCGCGGTTTTCACTTCTTTTTTGTTCACATTTAATCATTTAAGCTTCATTTTCTCTTTTCAAACGAAGCACAGCTTTACGCGTTTCTTTGAAAGGAGAAAAAATGCTATAAAGATTTTTTTTTTAAAAGCAGAAAAGAATCAAAAATTATTTTTATTTTTTATCATGCAAATTAATTGATAAAAGTAGGAATTTTTGGTATTTTCTTTCTAAGATCAGTGATACTGCATTCAGAGTTTTGCACTACTTAAAATGCACGGAAAGAAAGACATGGGTTCGGCCTCTGGCTCGTAGCCAGAGAGAAAATAAGTACGATTTTCATTTACCTCGGGTTACGTCGTTTCGAGTTAAGTCGTTCTCGATTATGCGTCTGTCAAAAAAATATATGAAAAAATAAAAATCAAGTTTAAGTCATTTTATTCGACTTTACGTCTGTCCGCCACAAATATTGAAATCGTAATATCACTAGAAAAGCGTTAAAAGCACATAAAATCATGTTACTGTACAATAAATAAGAATAAAAGTATGTAAAATCATATTAAAATACGTATATTTACAGTAAATGTTAATATAATCATCATAAATCCTAGAGAACGAAATATGAAAAAATCTAAGAGAAAAAATCTTTGAAGAAATGGAACAACTTCTTTCTCTTTGGATTGATAGGTTGAATCCTCAGCTTTGCTGCTATTAGTCAAGAAATCATTCAAGCAAAAGTGTTGTCTTTGAGGACCTGAACAAAAAAAAAATACCCAGATGAGAAAGATGTAGAGTTTAAAGCGAGTCGAGGCTGGTTTATGAGATTTAAAGAACGAAGAAGTTATCACTCTATTAAGAAGCAAGGTGAAAGTGCATCAGCTAACGAACAAGCAGCAGCTGATTTTCCTAAAGCATTGGCGAAGATCATCGAATAAAAACGTGTTTCTTCCTCAACAGATTTTTAACGTTGACCAAACGGGGTTATATTGGAAAAATTGCCAGATCGTTCTTTCATTGTTAATGTTAAGCGTAAGGCTATATCGTTGAAAAATTATTTTATGCAGAATATTGTACGTATATATCATAAATACTGTAATGTTCAATAGTGAGTGCTTATTTGCGGTGTTGTTATTTCAACTTAAGTCCTTTTTCGACCTAAGTCGTGACCTATGGAACCAATTAACGACGTAAGGTGAGGTATACGTGTATTTAATTTCTATTCAAAGTTATTGGACTTGTGGAAAGTGAAATCATTGAGCCGAGTTCAAATTCTGGTCGATTATGTTTTATTCACTTCAAAGCAATGCTATCGGAAAAAATCCATCTCCCTCCGGCTAGGGGTTAAATAATTGAGTAGAGTTGCCTTGAGGTGACATCCAGGCTAGGAGAATGTAAACTCTGAATTTAAAACCAGCTTGAAGATAGAAAGAGTGCACGATCAGGCTGTCTTTCCCCAAGCCCACCTAGTACTGCTACGGATGCAGTACATGTGGTGCGTCTACGACCCTAAGGCCTTACAAAACTCGTGATGCGACGCGAATACGAAAAATGTGACCAACGATGGGGTTTTGAATGAAATAGAAGCAAAAGAACAGAGACAACTGAGGAAAGAGAGCTTGGAGAATTTGACGCTCACGGGGATAACCAGGGAAGAAAAAATCGAGTAACGAGCTTGTGTTATAGTAGGAAGATGGACGCTGTTTAGAAGGGCAGAAGATGGAATGTTGTGGAGGGTCATAATAACACACGTTCTAAAAGGATACGACACATAGAATAAGTAGATCTAACATACGTCCCAGTTTGGTCAGAAGTGT